ATATAAAGAAAATGTAAATCAATAATTAATCAATATGTCCTTTTGGCAATGTTACGATTCAGAGTGACATGAATAATGAAGCTTTTATCTTTGCCTTTGCTCCGATCCAAGCAATATTATGATACAGCCTCCTTGTTATTGCCGACAATCAATCAAGTTCCAAACATCCATCATCCATCAAATTTGGAGGATGGAACGTATCGTAAGAGATGAAGCAATAGTTTCTGCTTGTATTTTAACACAATAGGTTATAATCAATACACGCGATTTATATATTTATGTATTAAATAGTTTGTAACATTAAATGCAAATTTAATCCAAATGATATTCCTAAGTTTGAATAATTTCCATTTTATTGTGACTATACATTTTAAACCGCAGACGAAATGAGAATTGTGCTTTTTTTTAAATAATATTATAGCAATGTAATTTTCGTAACATGTATACGATGGTTATATAAACATATGTAGATAATACACAAAACCGAACATGTATTTGTTTTTTAATTTGATTCGTTTGTTTTCAGACAATCGAAGCGGTAAATGGGATTTTAATTGAAACTCAACACGAATACGCTTTGGGTATTGATACTTTATTTGATAACAAAATTATTATACACAGACGAAAACATATTATTATAATAGAAAATGATTACAGTGATTTCTTTAAGCTTTAACATTGTTATAATATACACAGGTTTGACTGTTTAGTTATAAAATGTTAACTGTCCTACTCAGAGTTATTCAACGGTTATTTAACATTTATCGTACTAAGTCTATACTTGGTGGGTCTTTTGATTATAAAATGGTTTTAAGCGTGGCAGTAAATGACTTTTTCTTTCTGTAAAATATAAGGCGAACAATGAATACTTTACTAAAGATAAAACTATTGAGATTATTCAAACTAATAATATTAATAGTTATGGATAAGATAGTTTTGCAATCTTTACCAACTTTGATAAGTTATTGTTATAAGTTAGTTCGACAATCTTTGTTGGATGAACATAAATCTTAAAAATACTACCGTAAATATCAGTATATTTTAATATTCTTCTATCAGTTTATTTTGTATAATTTTGTTTGAAATACAACGAATTTTCTTTTATGTAATATTAAATCACAAAGTACACATGTTAAAGACAAGTTTTGTCTAGACGAGACCGTTGTCTAATAAAATTATACGAATTCACGCTACTTTTATACATTATTCTTATGTTTCGATCAAGTAATTGAAATAACAAGAAAACATTGTTTATATAAATATATAGGAATTCGTAGTACAATTTTGGTAGAAAAGATACCAATTCTGTAAATTGTATTAATGTCTCTAACCTCAAATTATATGAATAATAGTATATCGTGTGTTGATACTGTCAAATATAGAATACATTAAGAAAATATTAGTATCGAGTTTACATATGAGTAGATACGAGAATGTATAAGCCTTCGAAACTGCTGCGTCAATGTTTACATTGACTCAATCCTCTGCTATCGCTCTTGTATTTGTGTACATCTACAACTTTCGTCCCACGTCATTGGTTCAATCATTTGTCATTCTGTTCTGTAGTTCCCTTCGCTGCGTTTTTCATTGTTATGTACATAATCTTATCTTTTAATGATTGTTTTAACGACTTTATTTCGGCGTTACCTTCTTCTGTACTTTAGAACTCAAACCCTTATGCGGAATTTCGCGGCGTATGATAAACATAGCATTTGATTTATTTATAAACACACACACATATATATATATATATGTTAAACGTATGTATATATATATATATATAACATGGGAAGAAACTTTTATGAAATAATTCGTGGATTTACGAAATTAAAGTAAGCACGTCACGGGCCGTAGAGGCGCGTAGCAGTCTACGACCATATGATCTACGTTTTTCGTAGTCTTCGTAGTATTGAGCAATATTTTTCGTAGAACTTTGTAGACATTCAAAAAATGGTTCAAAGAACAAAACATAAGGACGCTAGGATGACAATCTAAAATATATTATTCAAGAAGGTATAAATAGCAGTAAAAATTGTGATGAATTTTAGTTATACAATATAATGAAAATAATTAACAAACGCCTGTAATCCGATTATTGAATACGTATGCAGCTTACCATAAGCCGGTAACAATGAGGGCAAAGGGAGCGTCTGCGGACTGATACCCAATCATATCAATGCTCTGAAATCCATCGGCTTAAATAAACATGCATCCGTATCATATTAATCCATATTTTTAACGTATCTGGTTTTATCTTTCACATACATAGTCTGTATATGACAAAATATGTAAAGTTAAAATGGATTTAATGTACAAGTTAAATGAAACTTTTGTTTTTTTTTATCCCTGGAAGACAGTAGTAGAATTAGACAACAGATTACTCTATCTCCTTCTCTGTTTTAATTATATTATCTCTTATATAAATTGCTTTTAGTAATGTTGATACTTGCTTTAGAATTGTGTTAACGGTAAATGTATTTTTAATTGTATAGAATGTTCTTGTTATGAACTCGGAGCTACAAAGCCGACAGTTGTACAAAACTCGTCTATAGCTATATTTGACCTAAAAAGACACAGGTTGTGCGGTTTAATTTAGTAACTTTTGTCGAGACGTTTCTATTACATTTTTAATTTAATTAAAAGGCGGAATAATAAAAAAATTTGAAAAAAAAAGTGGTTTATTTCTTGATTTAGGATTTTTTTTAGTTTTAACGTTATAAACATAATATCATGGTGTGTAAAAATGTAACTGTAAAATTTATTTAATTACAAATGTGCTGTAATTAAAATGAGAAAAATGCCTTTGGTCATTCCTTCTATTGTTTCTGGACAAAATTAATTTCAAATAAAGTGGCAACGAATACAGAGGCGTAACAAAACGTAATTGGGGCGCTACAGCAGGAATGAGACTGGCTTACATAGAAAACCAATGTAAAGTGCCGGTAAAACGCCGTCGCGATTCGTGTAGTTTAATGTTCGAACACAATGACTCAATTATTTGCTACGACGTATTTACTTTCAGTAGCCATAGAATTCTCTTTATTTGTACTTTAGCTTTTCTTTTTATGTGCAGTTTTATCAGTCGTAAAGCTCGGACACCTGCAGAAATTCGATGCTATTTATACAAATCGATAAGAAAATAACACAATTTCATAGTACCGTTTGAAGTCATCCTCTCCGTGGCGTTAATTAAATACTTTGACGCCTAATAATGTCTGGATCATGTCTTTTTATCAATTAGATCATTCAATAATATCTCCATGGTGATATTTCTGCCAGTGTTTCGCTTACTATATAAGTAAAAGTTACGTAACTTAATGAAACATAGAAGTTATCGAGATTGCTATTAAAATTAATTAAAGTTCAGTTTGTTTATCGTTTTGTCATTTGTTCAAGTGCTCTTGTTTATTTAGGTCGTATCACAGCCTCATTATAGAATACGGCTTTGTGAAACTATTGAGCCGTTTGTAACATGTGGACTTTACAACTGTTCGCGTTCCCGTTTTCGAATGTCACGTATATTTGAAAATATCGCTGGAAATAGTCAGTGCTCCACTTTATTATAAACTATCGTTGCTATCTGAGTGTCTAATTTACGTGTTTGGATGAATTTTAACTGTTCTGCATCGATATATTGAATGGTAGTTTGGAAGTATTACATGGGTGTCTGAGACCAAAATCTCCGTTTAAAAGACATTGTTATCTTTGTTTTGTCAAACACAATAACAGGGACGATGATATGTTTAATACAGAGATTTCGGTCCAAGGATCCCATGATTATCGAGTTATTCTTCAATAGAAGTAGGAGTATGGATGCATGGAGTATGTCTGAAAAATAAAAATCGTTTGTAGTACGGTACAAATTCTAAAAATACCTTTATTCACGAATCAATGCGCGTGTGACGGATATGCGGGCAAAAAAATAGTTTTTTCTTTTTGTTTTAACGCGTACAATATACGTGTGTTTGCAATGTAATGCGAATTGATTTACTTGAAAATAAAATGAAAAGTACACAACTGTTAGTCTATTAAAATGTCAACGTTTATGTCCCCTCAGTAATCAATCTGACACTTGACTTGGTAAAAAAAGCGCGCCACTCGCGCCAAAGGATTCTAACTAATAATGTCTAATACAACATATATCTTACTCGGACTGTCATTAAACGGAATAAAGAGATTCGAGCGTGGAATACATTTTTGCAGTTTAACGCTGGTAATACAATTAAACAAACGTAAGAAGTAATAAAGGAAGGAATAAAAATAAACTCAACGTAACTGACTATTTCCACTCTAAGTTACGGTAGTAGTTAAAGCCGAAGATAGTTCTTGAGGTCGTAATAGAGCGGATCTTACCACATATTAGCACAACTAACAATTAACTATGAATCTTTGTAGTCTGATTCAAATAAACATTATTGTTATGTTCTATTATGGTTGTGAAGCCGTTATCGTTCACAAGTACTTAAAAATTGTAAAAAAACTTCATAGTTTTAATTTATTTCTACATTCGTAATCACAAAACATCATGATGTCATTTTGTATGTTAATGTATAATTAGTTACAATTGACTTGTCAGTGGTTACAATCTGTATCACAAAGCTCTAGTTATGAACACGGACATAACCATTACATAAAAAGACAGCACGAATAACTCTTCATTTATAATCTAAATCACCGAAGAGATATTCTGAATGTAAAATAGTCGACGATTTTCATATTCTTAGATAAAAGATACTACTACAAACATTAAATTAAACAACTACTGTAAAATCATAGGTCGAAGTTAGCAACACAATCGGCGGGTAATTCTTTGAGGTCGTGGTATTTTTTCGTCCTCACCGAGATTACGGATATTTATGTCCCAATTCAATGACAGAATAAGCATAAAAAGTTTGCCAATTTCTACACATATAAAGTTTTATGTAGAGTAAATCTAATGATATAAATTTGTTTCGGCAGATGGGCTGGGTGTCACGGTAGCGGCTGACGCGAGGCGATGATCGACCACATGGGCCGGCCGCCCTCTCACTATGCGGCAGCAGTCGACCGATGTAAGTATTTTTGTTAAGTAATAAACATGCATACATTCTACGAGATGCTATTTGGAAACCATAGCAACCAAGTCTAAAGCGCCAATAGCCTAATGGGTACGGACTACATAAGGTTTTGTAAACCCGCCATTCGTGAAGCTTAAGGTTTAGTTAGGATGGTTTAAAACTAAGCAATGATTTCAAGTACTTGTTTAGAGTTTGACTAAAAAAATGATATCTTTAATCTGTAATAGAATTAAATAAAAAGCCATAACAATAAAGTTCTATCTAAAACAGCAAAATTTTAACTTTTTTAAATGGCTTTATACAGTATGAATGTTCATATCGTACCATTGAATTTTAATGCGATATTCTGCCTTTATTCTTTAAAGTAATATTCAGATTAGATTTGCCGAAATGTATTGCGTTTTATCGTGTTCTCGGTTATTTATTCGAAAGCAGATTCCCATTAAGATGTAATATCTCTGTCGGCAGGAGATATAAAAGAGGCTTCTTTGAGGCTTATGTTTGAAAACAATAAACGTAATGACATTTCATTTTGTGATTCATTTTATTAAAAGTCTAGTAGATTCTTTTTAACTGCGATATTTTCTAAGATTATTATTTTTATGTTTCAAATTGAAAAGTGCAAGTGGCCATTACCGATATTGAAACTGGTTTCGGAAAATATGAATCTCATTAACTTTAATAATTCATGCATAGCGGATACAAAATTTTGGTCGATTTGCCTTTAAAAATCAAATTTGTTGGAGAAAGTAAGTGTATTAAAACTAACAGATAAAACCTTACCAGAATTTCCAGATTTTCACCAATGAAATGTACAATTTATTATATAAATATAAATTTATATAAAGATGTACAATGTATATAAATTTCTTTTGAACAATTATTTAGCTTAATAATTATTCAAAATAAATTAAAACAGAAAAGCTTTATTTTGAAAGTTACTATAATTAACTTTCCGAATAAGCAATCATTGGTAACAGTTCGCTACTTGGATCAGAGTGGAGCTCAATTACATCGCGGCGGAAAGACCTACTTTCCGAGGCGATACGAGCGGGTTAATTTCCGTATTGGCAGTCAATCTGTTTGGATTGTTCCTACTTCATAATACACCGGGTATTTAACGAACACTTTTTGCATCAATTTCTTACTATTATTTAATCAGATAAGGACTAACTTTGTTAATTTGATCACTAAACTGGAGCCTTAGGATACGAATCGTCAAGAAAGTACAAGAAAATCAACTACTAAAAGTTGTTCACGAAAATCTTTGTTATAATGAGAAAGACGTTATACGACTATTTGAATTCATAACCGCTAAGTATTATAACAACCCCTAGATTCTTTTTGGGGCCGAATTCGTGTTATGTTATGTGTTTTTGTGCAGACGGTCGACAAAGCGGTGTGCACGGAGGAGTCTGGCGCGGCGCGGCTAGAGGCGGTGCTGGTCGCGCTAGTGGAGCGCAAGGCGCGCGCGTTGCACGCCGAACACGCCCGCCGCCGTGCGCGCACGCACCCCCTACTGCTGTTACTTCGGGACCATTTGCCAGACGGTCAGTATATTCTATACAGTATCTGTCAAACCTGAAGCTAATGATATGAGTTGTAAATTTCGAGATCATATTCTGATTTAAGATTTACAATGCTCTTATTTTAATCAATATGCATGAGGTTCTAAATGGATATTCTAAGTTCTAAATTTTATCAATCCTTTTTAAAACGATCGTTATTATAATTTCAGAAGAGGCATGTATGGTGGAGAGCCCCGGACAGGCGCTGCCGGCGCACTGGTGTGAACATGAGATTGCGAGGCACAAGCGCAAAAAGCTCAAATTGCAGATGCACCATAAGTAAGTGACGAAAAATCAAGTTAGTCCTCTATAAGCTAGGCCAAAGAGAGGTCGAACAAATCCATCTAATTGGATAGGCAGGTGTATTGCAATGCATATTAAAAGTATTGCAAAGTGGGTCTTCGATCCGATACCTGTACCGTATTTGTTCCCTTAAACTTAGTGAAATATTACACATAAATATCATATACTCGACAGCTATTGAGTGAGTCTGATTTAAAAAAGAATCAACTTGTACTTTATCCCTCAAGGAGGATTTAGATTTGGTATCTGCAACACTCGGTGTAGTTAATTGATCACTAAATGAGTGCCTCAATCCAGATTTAGAATTACAAATTTACAAAAGACTCTTTATATCACTATTAATTGACCGAGCCTGTAACAACATAATTGGGTGCATTATTCAACATAATTGGGTGTTATTCAACAGAAACGCACATAGTCCTGGCCGGCTGGAGTCGGAGCGTCGTCGTCGGCGACGCAGGCGCAGTCCGCACGCACACACACACTCACACAAGCCCAGGAAACATCGTACGCTGCTCGTATCCGCTATTGATGAACAGGCGAAGGTTATACATGTAAGTTACATGCACAATATGTGTGCAATATTTAACAATTTCTGCTCTGCTCAGATCTTCGTAAATACACAAAAGTACCTAATACTTTTTTAACTAAGTACCTAATACTTTTTTACTAATTTTCGGATGCTGTCAAATGCGATAATCGTGCAACGAACCATCGTTTTATGAATAATACTTATATATTATATCAGTATACAGTATACTGTATATATACAGTATACTGTACACAAAACGATGGTTCGTTGCACGATTATCGCGTTTGACAGCATCGGAAAAGTTTATCTCTCATTAAAAAAATGCTGTATGCTAGACATTCTAAGACATATAAAATTAAAACTGTTCTAAAAATATATCTAAACTATAATAGGTAAAGCTTCATTTTCCCAGCTTTTCTCTTTCAAGAAAATTTTATCGAGTTGTGTCAACAGTAAACTAGATGGCGTCTGAATCAAAATAACAAGAAGCTCTAAATCCGCACCCCGACACGTGGCGCTAGCTACGTCTTCATGAAATAAAATGTAGATGGCACTGTGTTTTACTTATTGGAATTTTATCTTTTTTCTCTTACATTTATAAAACATCACAAGGTACAACACATCTACTAAAATGCATTGTAGAGAAGATGAGAATATGAGGATTAAATGACAGTACTAAAGGAGGGAAGGAGGATTTAGCTTTTATCAACTAGACTATATTCATGCAACGGCTTTAGTTTTCGTACTCTCTCTTACATTAGGTATTGGACCCAGACGAACTGCCGCGGAGGGCGCGTTACACGATAATGGTGACGGCCTGCCTGTTGCTCTTCCTATGTTTACTGCTAGTCGGAGTTACACTGAGAATGGCGCCTCTCATAGACGACATGGGTGAGTAACATTTAAATTATTTATGGAGGTAAAATACTGCACTATTTAATGGTAAGTGATTACCGAATCTCATAGAAAATCAATCGTGTAGAGCAGATAACCAGAGATTAAAAAATTTCTCGACATTCGACTTACGTTATGATTAATTTTGTGTGATGACTTAATTACCATTTGTCCGTTAGGTTTTACAATTAAGAAAATGTTTTTACCAGTGCCGGATAGGGGTTCCATTTAACTAATTCGATTATCGAAAGAATTTTAAAGAATTCACAAAGTTCGAATTCAAATAAAATGAACCGTTGCTATCACAAACGTTCCTCGCAAGTTGCAAGCAGAAGTTTTATATTCGCACAGGTCGAGTGTATTCCTCTCGCTCGCTGTCGATATTTCAAACACTCTTGTTACGCTTCATTTGACTCACATGATATCTACGTATGCATAAAGTGTATTAAAACTTGCAGTTTAAAGAATTTATCGAATCATATCACGTTCGATTGTCTTAACTGTAATATCGAACACTTCAAACATAGACATATTAAGCAATTATCCAAGTTTGGAATTTTTCAAACGAAGAAGCTTTTTATACCTTTTATTTATAATGAGACCGGATGACCTAAATTTTTACATGCTAAAAGTTTTTATTCATAAAGTAAATGAGGCACCATTTGAAAAGTCTTGTAATTAATCAGTAACGTATCAAGACTTTGTACCAAGTGTAAATGTCGTTATCAGAGAGTAAAGACTCATTAAAGAATACAGGACATGACATTATTTTACAGCAAAATAATTGCAGATATTTTAGGTTTACTTATTTAATTGTCACTGATACAGACAAAGAGCTACATTTGAAATAGATTGAAATACACAAAAAATATTTTAGCTGTCTTATACCACATGAAAAATGTTTTTGTTTAAAATTAAATATGACCAACCATCAACATATTGTTAAAAATGCTTTCACTAACTGCAAGTATGACGCACGTGGAATGGTTAAAGTGTTTACAGAGTAACAAGTTTATTTCAAGAAGGGCGTAGCGGAAATACTAAAGGTAGTCGTTATCGTCGACACAAATGTGACGTCTCGTTTAATATTATAACTATTGACGCACGCGATGTTTATCGCTGCGACACACTTTTCATTACTGTGCTAAATGAGGTATTCCTCAGGTCATATCTAATACAAGACTAAACACTGAATAAAGACGATATAACTGTGGTCGTAACACAATTATTTGTGACAATCGCCATCGTATAGTCATTGACATTTGTATTTAAATTTGTTTAGAGCTCCGGGCGTTAAGAAAAATTGCATACAAATTTTGATATAATTGAGCATGACGACACGAAAGCGATTGGCAAATGCTAGGCCCAGTGAAGAAAGTTGCATCACGTTACTTCCAAAAATTATAAGATTATTCCAAGATTTCCTAAAGGAAAATAAAAATCATTTCTATTTTTGTTCCCATTGAGTTCCTAAACCAATGGGCAGATTTTACTGAAATCTTGGCAGAACTTTCTGATAAAGATTGTGGAAAAAAAATTATTTGCTTCTTATTAAACTTTCTTTCAATATGACAGATTTTGATTTAATAAGACTTTTCTCAATTCTTTATTTGATTTGAAACAAATAGCAGAGAGTTTTATATAAATTTAATTTGGAATAAGAGAACTTATAAGTGCATGTGGTGAGGTCAGCGTGGACAGGTGCCTTACCCTCTTTACAGTGGCGCTTCCAGCTGTCGTCGAGTTACAGAATGCGGAGTACTCGCTAAATAACTTTCACTTTACGACACACCTTGACATATTCCGAAATACATTATTATTTTAGAATAATGCTGTTTTTCAATAAAAATCCCAAAGAAAAAAAATCAAACAAAACTAATTCTATTAAGTTACTTATGTACATTAAGTGTACATAAATAAATGTAATACAATTTAATTTTAATATTTATAAGAAATTGAACAAGGAAAAGGGAAGACGTAAAGCTTCGTTGACAGGGAAAGTATTAAACTGACGTAACATCATACCCTTAATTTCCATCCACTCGGTTTGTCGGAAATGTTATCAAAATGCTGTTACTTTTTCCTTTCTATACGAAACTAGTATAAAATTATTATACACGTTTCGCTGCAGGCAAATTAAACTTTGGTACATCAAATTAACATATATATTGTAACTGCTTAATCGAATCTGCAAACCAGGGCGCTATTACTTGCGTTAAGACGAATATTACGCATGCAAATTGGAATCAAGTTACAATATTAGTGCTGTATCTTCGTTAATGAAAAACTTAAAGCATATACCATCACTGATGGAAGGAAGCAATTTTAGAAGAATATGACGAATAATTGTTATAACTAAACATAAAATAGGACCTTATTTTTGTAAAAATATTTGTGTAGTAAAGTCCAACTTTTTAATAACACAAGCTTTCAGATGCAAAAATAATTAGCATCGGTCAAATTTTTGAGATAGGATAAAATATTAATTTGATATAAAAATTTTATGAAGTATTGGAGTAATCACAATTGTTACATTAATATAATATATGAATCCACAAACGACAAAACAACTTACTCATCGACAACTGTAGGAATAGATACAGACGGACTTTTGTTTGGCGCGGTCTAACCACACCTTTCGCTTCACACGACATAAGACAAAAAAGTATAAAAATACCAACTAGTTGTGTAACTACTATATGAAGACACTAACTACACTAGTTAACGTATAAATAGTGTTTATTCAGCAAGACTTACAAAACCTCGTACATCTTTCTTTAGCTTACGAGTTCGTGGGGATTTTCTAACCGATTTATTGTTATCGTACAAACACGTTATCCCGTCGTGTTTAGATACACATAAATGAATTTAGTGTTGACTAAAGTGTTGCCGCAACATGTTAGTTTCAAATACAGAAAGCTTTTTTTATTATTTCATTTTAATCAAAATGATAATATTGTAGTAAGGGAAAGATTAATAAAGTAAGTTAATATAATTGTATAGGTAAGTCTTAATACTTTTATAAAATACTAGCTGTCGCCCGCTAATCCGTCAGCATGCATATATAGAAAAACTTAATTAGTGTTATTGTAGTATAAACATTCGCTTTTATAATATCAGTAAGTTAAATAAAAAGCAGCAATTCAAGGCAGAAATTCAAATCATCATCATTCATCATCATCATCAAATTAAAAAAAAAAGAATATATATGGTATCCTATGTCCTTCTCCTGGCTCTAAGCTACCTCCTCACCAATTTTCAGCCATATCGGCAAAGCCGTTCTTGAGTTATATAATAAATAGTGTAACTAACACGACTTTCTTTTATAAAAAATATATGTTTAATAGATATAATGTTAGTATAAAATTAAAACAGCTTAATTTCTCGTTATCCATTAATATTTTATTTAAATCGTGTACTACTTAAATTATGGAAGCTAAATTAAAATCTTATTCAAGAGAGATTATCTTGTCATGTCAAACTCAATATTTGCCAGTGAGATATCAGAATAATGATAATTTTACCGGAAATGATGACGCGCGTGGATATGAGTTATTTAATATTGAGAAATGACATTACTAAGCATTCATAAAAGTCTTGAGGTGACAATATATTAATATTATATATAATAGAGATTACTTACTATGTATTTAAGTACCGATTGTTCATAATATGTAAAATTTACGAAAATTACTCCTAGTATAAACTTAATAGAGTTATACTTTCGCAACATAATGATATACAAAAACATTCATTTCAAATATTCATATAAAATTAGATTTATTTTACGACATATTCCATTTCTATATGTCTGATGTTTTTACGACGTCGTAAAATATTATACAACTGTAGTAGGTAATCAAGAAGTCTACGTACCTGAAAAACGATATGCTATTAAAGATATAGAGATATATAAGATGTATATATGTATAGCTTTGCCAAAGATGCCAACAGCTTGCCAAAGGCTTTTTATAAAATTATGCGTATAAATAAACTATCAAGTAAAAAAGCATTCAACATTGTCAATGGTATCGAAAACCCATAATATTAGGTTTCTCTAATTGATTGCCTGAGGATTTGCTTATCGTAATCGTAACTTTTATTTTACGAATCTGTAAATAATTAACATAATTTCGAATGTTATTGGATAATTCAAAAGGCATTACTTAGGCCTTAAAAGTTTTTAATTTGTTTCATCAACTGTCAGGCGCAAAACGATTAGTCTTATTGTTAGTCATTCTTTATTTTGATGAATTGAGTTCGGGGATTGCGTTTTTGTCAAATTGAAAAGAAAGTAATTTTCTACTGGCCTACTGGTATAAGAGTACAGAACCATGGCATCAATTGGGTATTGATAAGAGGACTTTACTGTAAGGTCAAACAAACTACACCAGTGGGGTTAGACAAAGTGTAGTCACTACGAAGCGATTCCATAACGAAATTCAAAAATGTATAGAACTGACAGTAACTTTCGATAAGTCACGTGATTGTTACGCGTCAGTTTCATACAATTTTGAAGTTCGATATGGAATCGCTTCGAAGCGAATGCACTTTGTCTAACCTCTCATTGGAAAAAAGAAGAAGATATACACAAATGTGCTAATCTTTTAACGGCACTAATTCATTATTTCCTAGTAGGAAGAGGATTTTCTATTTGATGCGATCCTGGCACATTTTATTCAGTTTGCACTTAACTGGCTAACAAAGATATCTCAGATAAGTAAAACATAATTGTAAGCTTTATGGATCTGAAATTCTTGTCGGTAAAATGTTTTTCAAGTTATTTTTACGTCATTCGTCGAAGATTTTGATTGAGGGATTATCTCTCATAGATTTTATTTTGTAAGAAAAATTTCTTCTTGAATAGATTGGTCAAACCGCACCAAAATAAAAAAAAATATAATAAACTTCTTTATAAAAGTGATCTTTAGTATATTTTCATATTAGAATAGGATAAAAAGCTCTACAAAAGAAAGTGGTAGGATAATTGAATTAGCTTTGCTTG